AAAGAGCGACCGAAAAAAAGCCTAATTTTTCGCCCCTTTGTGAGACCTCGTAAATTTACTCCAAATGTGTGCCAAAAGATAGTCTATGATGAGACTTGAATCGTCTATAAGTTTTAGCTTGAGGCTACATTTCGTTTTCGAGTTTCGGTTGATTAAAGTTGTCATTTTTACATGGATTGTTGGATCGAGGTTACACCGCTAAAAAAAAATCGCTTGTACTTCACATGTGGCATATGTATTCCGAAGTACTTTTTCGCGCTGAGCACGAATTTGCTATTAGAATTGCTTCATCACCCTTCGGTCTTCATGAAATGACTGAAAAGTTCAGAAAAATGAAGAATTTCGAAGATTCCAAGATTAATTCTTTGACTTCCAAATGACCTGTAGTCATAGAGATTAACGAACCTTTGATTTTAAATCAATGATTTCGTCAACTTTTCTGGGAAAGGTTTTTGAAGACCTTTCCCAGAATCTGAAGTCATAGAGATTAACGAACCTTTGATTTTAAATCAGCGACTTTGAAAACCCTATAACAAGCCATGTAAAAATGACAACTTTAATCAACCGTAACTTGAAAACAAAATGCAGCCTCAAGCTGAAACTTATAGACGATTCAAGTCTCATCATAGACTATCTTTTGGCACACATTTGGAGTAAATTTATGAGGTCTCACAAAGGGGCGAAAATTTCGGTCGCTGTTTTTCAAAATATTTTCTCGACTCTCTATACGCAATTTTTTCAATCTTAAAGACAATGCCATCTTAATTTCTACGGTATAAATTAAATTTCTCTTGAAATTAGGATAAAACTAATTTCGGACTTATACAGTTTCGGAGAATTGTTCCAACGAATATGTACGGCATTACAATTTTCATTCTTTATGTTATATTTCTGATGAAAATTTGTAAATGCCGTATAGTTATTAATGACCTAAAAACGAAGTAAAAATTTAATGAAATAGGACATATCAGCTATGTAAAATCCACTAGTTAAAAATGTACGGCATTGGTTCTTTTTAAATTTTTTTACTTATGAAAAGTCAATTACAACCATAATATTTTCAATATAACATTTTTAGTTTATAACAAGGAATTTTCAAATTATAGTAAATTTTCAAAATTGATTTATTTGTTGTTTTTAATTTGTTCCATTAATTATAACCGGCCATGATTTAGTACGATAGTTTTTGGTTATATTTTATCAAAAATGTGGTTGCCATACAGGAATTAATGATCTTATCGAAAAAAAATAAAACTCAATTAAAAAATGCAAGTAATTGTTTATAAACTTTTGCATTAACCATAATATTCAGACGGCATAGTTGCTAAGAATTATTTGGAGAGTTAAATAATCATGTGGAATCGATACCGTACATTTTTCAATGACTTGAAACAATGGGGGCTAAAATAGAGGGTTGCGTCCTGTATTTCTAACCCCTGTATCAGCAGATACGTACGGCGTCACTAAAAAGGTTATCTACGTATCAATCTGAAACTTGCAGTCTAAATCCCGTACTGTAGTAAATTAACAAAAACCGGGCCAAATTTTTCAGAAAATCAAAAACTTATCTGGCTTCCGGTATTGCTATTTTTGTACGGCATTAGGTCGAGATTCACTTTTTTGTGTAACCTATATACTTTAGAAATGCCGTACAAAAATGTTTTGCCGAAAACCACCCCCCCTTGGTGGACAGGTTTAGCTTACCTGTGTACTCACCTGTACCACCAAGAATTGACGGCATAGTTTCTAAAGTTGTTGTTATAGGTGGTAGTATTGATTTATAATTAATTCTTGCTGGGTCAAATGACCCTTTGAAAATTTCCGATGGGCTTGTAGTCTATTCCTGTTTTATACCAGGTGCAAAGACAGTCGGTGTATCCGCTTTTAAAGGCATGCCGCGACAAAACAGCGGTGGCTAACCTCCGTTACACCTCGGAGGCGTTCTGAACATGATAGAATTGTACTTAAATTTAAACTGTTCACTGTTTAATTTAGTGGTTATTTTATTTATTGTGGATTCATTTAAATTTGTATTCAGGGGAGTACGTACTATTACTCCTAAAAAACTGACCCTAACTTAAAGTTGCACCCTGTATAATCGTTGGACATGTGAAATTTTAACTGTGGTGTCAATGCTAGTAACTAACTCGGAATAATTTCGGTATATCAAACACACACATACATACAATGTTGTTTAAAATGTATGCATGTTGATTAATGTTATGAGTGGCGCGCTTTTTGCGAAAAAAATATATACCGGGTATGACAACTAAGAGATATGACGTCATCGATGATTTTTTTAAAAGCTACCCTAGTTTTTTCATTTCAAATTTTCTTCAAAATAAGAATCTCTGCTTTATGCCGAAGTTCTGATGAATAAAACTGAAATACTCTATAACACTTCGTACTACTGTACTAAATGTGGCTCATCCGAAGCCCTTTAACTTTGAGAGGACGAACTAAGACAATATTGCTTTAATCGCATTATCTGTACTAATAGTTTCAACTTACTATGTATTCCTTTTCAATGAGAGATTACATTATTCTTATGCGAATCACAGAAAAGTGCTACATCTGTGAATTGTCACTGCTACTCAGTGTAGACCTTAACCAGTTTGTCGAATCAGCTATATTTCGATAAAGAATCCTGTAATTGTTAACTTCGATACCATGGCAAAACTGCAATGTGGCGATTTCTGGAAACACGAATATCAGGTAACAAAATGTCGATTTTTCACATTTAATTTTGGTACATCGGTAATTTATAGGAATTATCCACATTTTTAGACCAGGCAGGATCTGTTTTGGTGTAGATGTTTTATATAGTATCGCTAATTTTTGCTTTAATGGCTCCAAAATGATACAACAAAACATAATTTCACCATGAGCGCGCTTCCAAACGTGTGCTATTCATTTTAGAGAAAAATTGATTTGTAATTAAATTTTACACATGATATACCTATTTTCAAATAAAAATACAACATAATTATTGCAAATATAGCAAAAACAACAAGAAAAAAGTGAAAAATATTTTTGCGATTCTTTTAAAAGTACTTACATTATAGGTAGGATCTTCATACTTGGCCAAACAAATATTTTTGATATAATAAAACATCACGCCAATTTTCGTTACAATCGGTCCAATAGTTTTCGACTAATATAATAATTTTGCAATTCAGATTTTTTAAAAAAATTTAAATTTTTGCAAATTTAACAGAGCCTAAATTAAGACTTCTAGATACTTGAAAATTTTATCACATAAAAAAGGGCATTCAAACTTTAAAATGCGTCCAGAAAAATTGAAATCCATTAATTAGGAGACCCGTGGTAATTGTTTAAAGATATGCGTAATTTTTGCGCTTATAAACAAATAGACTAACTTTATAAATTCATTATATTATTTTTTAAATTATGCTTTTAAAGTACTCGAAAAGACGCTTCTTTAAAAAACCGTGCTGATTCGTTAATTGGTTCCAGAGTTATAGTCGATCAAAGATGACCGGCATTTGTGACGTAACTACGAGGTCTGGGTCTGGAGGGCTGTTTTTTAAACACATACCTTTGTCATTCCGAATACTTTCCGGGAAAGTACTCGGAAAAACAACGGTTTTGTTAAATAAACAGCTCTCCAGACCTCGTAGTTACGCCACAAATGCCGTTCAACTTTGATCATCTATAACTCTGGAACCAATTAACGAATCACCACGTTTTTTTTTAAGAAGCGTCTTTCCGAGTACTTTAAAATAATAATTTAAAAAAATAATAATTATATTGAATTTATAAAGTTATTCTTTTTGTTTATAAGCGCAAAAATTACGCATATCTTTAAACAATTACCACGGCTCTCCTAATTAATGGATTTCAATTTTTGAGGACGCATTTTAAAGTTTGAATGCCCTTTTTTATGTGATAAAATTTTCAAGTATCTAGAAGTCTTAATTTAGGCTCAGTTAAATTTGCAAAAATTTCAATTTTAAAAAAAAAAAACTGGATTGCAATATTATTACTCGAAAACTATCGGACCCATTTGAACGAAAATTGGTGTGACGTTTTATTATATCAAAAAGATTTTTTTGGCCAGGTATGAAGATCCCATCTATAATATAAGTACTTTTAAAAAAATCACAAAAACATTGTAATTCTTTCACTTTTTTTTGTTATTTTTGCTATATTTGCAATTATGTTGTATTTTTTTATTTGAAAATAGGTATATCATGTGTAAAATTTAATTGCGAATTTATTTTTCCTCATAAGTTTTTCTCTAAAATGAATAGTTTTTGAACTGTGTTTTAGAGCCATTAAATAAAAAATTTGTGATACTATATAAAACATCCATATATGGGTGTTTTGAAACGGATCCCGCCTGGTCTAAATTTGGTTTACAAAAAATATACGTATTTTATATTAGTCTTCATCATACTTGAAACAATAGACGAATGATGCTAGTTTTGATGTCGCGAGATATATAAGTTAAAAATGTGTTCGCCGATCATAATACCTGCGAAAGTGCAGGTTGCTCTCTGCCAGCTTGATCGTACTGAAAGCTGAGGCATGGAGTACAAGTAACCATTCATAGATGGAGCACTCTGTTCTGCCTTGCATATACTCACTCCATGTCTGTACTTGAGGCATAAAAATAGCTCTATTTGTCGATTATCTCATCTGTGACATGCTGTTGAGGACTAATATGTCCGAAATCGGCTTATTACACATATTACCGGTATAATTTAATACCGGTCAGGACATGTAGCCCTCGGAGTAGTTGTATCCCGCTATATCATCAGTTGCGTTGTTCTTGATTTCAGGTGTGGGATACGCGATATGTCTAATGGATATCTACATGGGGATGTACTACAACACAATAATCGGGTGGGCCTTATATTACCTCATCGCATCCTTCCAGTCAGAGTTACCGTGGACGAAATGTACAAACGATTGGAACACCGTGTTCTGTAGACCTGTTACTGAACTTCTTCCTAACAGTACCGCCTCTAGCCCAGCGAGGGAGTTTTTTGAGTAAGAAAGCACATATGTACAGGGTCCATGATTAATTGGCTACATTTAAATTTGAATTGTCAAAATAAAAAAAAATAATTAAAGTATGTCTCTTTGTTTTCGAGAAAAAAACATACATTTTCGAAAATAGAAAGTATGAAGAAGATTAACAGTAAGACGATATTTGAGGATGTTTAATGTCTCTTTAACGATTTGTCTAATTAATAATCTGCCGAATAAATAAATACTCTTAAATGATGCCTCTTTTTAGATTTAGTAAAGTGTTTGGTAACGTCATTAACTCGAAAATGGTCCGCCGTTTTCGTTAATAAAATTTAATAGATTTTTTTTCTTAGAACAGAAGAAGTAATCACATTTTTAAAATACCCACGGACTATATATTTACATAAAAATTCAGCAGATTTTTTTACTTTAATTATTAGCTTAAGTTCCCTATATTAACCACTCATATTTTGCAAAATAAGATTTTTTCTAAATATCAACAATCTGTAATACGAAAACGAAACGTCCGCGACACTCCTTCATAGAACTTTTTCTTATTTTGGCAATCCGAATGCAAATTTTAAATTTAGTTAAATAATTTCGAAACTCACTATACAGGGTGTCCCACCAGGAATCGCTACTATTGATTGATATAACGGAAAGTACTGATCCGATAAATTCTTTTATATTCAATTCTTTACTTAAGTATCTTTTAGAGGTTATGCAGTTGAGTGGGAGGGAAAGTAGAGGGGGAAAAGAGTAAAAGTTTACTTTTATGAACATAAACAAGTGTTTTTACTTAAATTGTGCCCGAAAAATATTATTTATACGATTCCATACATCAGATGTAAGAAAAATGATTTTGTATGTATCCGTTTTACTTAGAATCGATTTAATATTGTTTTTGAAGATCCAAAAACATATTCCATATGATGAATTTCTGATAGGCCCGAAAACCGACCTTATTGACCCAGCAAAGGCAGTAGGTCCAACACAGTTAAAATATTTGGAACTTTATGGCACCGATTATACCGGAAGTCGATATTAACTTTCTTATTTTAAATGGACATCCTATATATTATTGCATTTTCGGATTATACATGAAATTTGAGAGTCACTTTATTAAATATTCGTATTTCCTATACCTAGAAGTTATAAATTTTGAGATATTAATTTTTTAAGAAAAAATTTGATAGATGCAAGGGTCCGCGGAGATGCTAGTAACTTTTTTCAGGAGCGTGATATCAAGTGTTGCTACATTTTCAGTCATAACTCCTTACTAATACTAAATATAAACCCATAATAATTCCAACAGTAACAGTGATATAATAATAAAGGCACTACTCGTATTACTGTATTACTATAGAAGTTCTTGAAATTACTTTGTCACATTGTCTATAAATAACAAACAAATTAAAATAATTCTCATTAGTATAATTTCAACGATCCCCAGGCATTTTTATTTAAATTTTCGGTAATAGACACAACAATATCTTGACTAACTTGACAAATGTCAAGTTATTTTAATTGTTTTTGGAGTGTTTCTGGTCATGGCCAATCTGATAATAACTGGTCTGATATGAGAAAAATTGTCCAAAAAATAGACAAATGCAAATATCTCTAAAAGTAGTAACGGCAACCCTAACAATACGATAGAGTAAAAATATAAAGGGTATTCCATTTAAGTTAACAAAGTTATACTTAGCTGTTTGAAGTTATCAAAATGTAATAGCAAAAATAAACCACCTAGTATTACTTAAATGTTTTAATTTGTTGGTGTTACCTATGTTCTTTATAGGTACCAAAAATCTACTTGATATCATGCTCCTGAAAGTTACTATCATCTTCGCGGACCCCTGCATCTAAAAAAATTTTTCTTCAAAAAATAATATCTCAAAATCTATTTATAACTCCTAGGTATAGAGAATATTTAATAAAGCAACTCTCAAATTTTAGGTAGTATCCGAAAATGAAATAATATATAGGGTGTCCCACTTAAAATAAGAAAGTTGATGTCGACTTCCAGTATAACCGGTGCCATAAAGTTCTAAATATTTTAACTGTGTTAGCCAAATATTCAGATTTATCGGATCAGTGCCTTCCGAGATATCGACAATGGCGATTCTTGGTGGGGCACCCTGTATAGCAGTTTATGATTTTAATGCAAATTTCTAACAATATTTCTGGACAACATTCTATTTTTATGACTTTTATGGTACTTTGTTAGAAGATGTACGAAATAAATATAGGATATTTTTGCTGTCTGATTCACGAGTGTTAAGAAGAAATTCTTAAATTCGTTTTTGGTAAAATACGCAGGAAAAATGTATACCATAAAAATAAAATCCTAGATTTACCGTTGGCAACTGTTTTTAGTACATTAATCGTGATTCTTGTTATACACTTATTTAAATAAGTGATAAAAAACGTATGTGACATTAGCTAAATTAATTAAAAACACATTTTTTGAAATTCTTTGGGAGTTTGTACTGTTACGTTATTTTTTAAAGGGGCAGCTCAGTTTTTAACTCTTTGTGAAGCTTTTTTTATAAATTACAATACAGTCCACTTGAAAGGTCTCTCAGATAAAATTGATAATACGTACCCTCCTCTCATTATTTATTTTATAATATAACAGGTATGCTTTTTTTCTTATATAATCAATGATTTTCAGGAGGGAAGTTTTGGAACAATACAAATCCGACGGCCTCAACAGAATGGGTCCTATAAAACCAGCATTGGCCTTGTGTGTTTTTGCAGTTTTTATACTAGTTTATTTTTCTTTGTGGAAAGGAGTTAGAAGCACAGGCAAGGTAAAGGACAATATCATTTAAAAAACGCAATAAATATTTTTAACGTCAAAATAAATAGATGGGTATTTTGTTTAACTAAAGCGATCATATCTGTTTTTTTTTACATTTTGTAAGTATATATACAGTGTCCTAAAATTTATCTACAATAGTTCCATAACTCAATCCTTGACCATAAGACAAGCCGTTTATATAATTTTTTTTAAGGGAGTTACAACCATTAAAGGCGAGCCTATGAAATTAGTTTTTCTCAGATATATTCGATATCGATAGGAATAAAACAATGACAGACACAGACATGACACAGACCTTATGAATTTCAGGTCCCGGTGGATTTGTCTGGATTTTTGATTTTTTGTACTTGATCAAAAGTATCAAAGGGCGCAAAGTCCAAAAATGGACAGTTTTGGAGATACCGAGGAGCAATCATAACAGTTAGGTATTTAAGTGCAATATTTTCATGTATATTTGGCCCAATTCACTCCCATAATCCATCTACCCTAATATATACCTATACAGGGGGTCCCATATTAAATTACGCACCTAAATATCTCGTCGCCAATTCGAAAATAACCTTACGAAAGTTGTTGGGTTCAAAGGGGGACACCGGATCATGACCTTCAATTTGACCTTAACATTGACATTCAAGGACATTTGAAGGTCAAATATATGTTTTTTTAAATAGGGGCCTCTATTTTTTACCGCGGATTTGGAAAGAACGCAAAATTTTACGTTTAGATAGGTACTTAAGGCTCTTCTTTGAATAACCTTTAAAGGTTATTTCAGGGACAAAATATTTTAAATTACGCACATGAATATTTCGTCAGGGGAGCCACCAATCCGAAAATAACCCTTACAAAAGTTGTTGGGTTCGGAGGGGGACATCGGATGTTGTCCTTCAATTTGATCTTGATGAAGAAGAAGAGCCTTGAGTACCTATCTAAAGTAAACGAACGTATCAATCTAAACGTAAACAAGCCTTAATTACCTATTTAACCGAAAATCTTGCACTCTTTCTGATTCCCGGTCAAAAATAGGTTCCTATTTAAAAAATTAGATTTGACCTTCAAATGACATTCAAGGTCAATGTCAAGGTCAAATTGAAGGTCACCATCGGGTGCCCTACTCCGAACCCAACAACTTTTGTAAGGGTTATTTTCGGATTGGTGACGAGATATTCAGGTGCGTAATTTAAAATGAGATACCCTGTATATATTAGTGTAGATGGATTATGGGAGTTAATTGGGCCAAGTGTACATGAAAATTTCGCAATTAAATATCTATTATGACCTAATATCGTGTATCTAATTAGTAATTACCCTGCGGTCCCAAGAAATATTTCATTTTAGGCGACTTTGCGCCTCGGTACCTCGAAAACTGTCCATTTTTGGACTTTGTGCCCATTGACACTTTTGATCACGTGGATATCATGTACAAAATATCAATGATCCAGACAAATTCACCGGACCTAAAATCTGTATATGGTTTGTGCGAGGTCCTTTGGAACTGAGTGTTACTGTAATGCGAGTCTATTAGTTAAAATATTGTTTCTAAATTTTAATCAGGGGCGTCTCAAATTAAGGGGTAATAAAATTACTGTCATGTGAATCCAATGATTAAAAAATATTTCATAATTTGAATACCAAACTAAAGATCTCTCTCTTATTTTTTAGTCATAGACTAATTTCAGGACATTTTGTATACATATTTTAATTCTCAACTTTTAAGAAGGGCATTTTACGATCATATCCAAGTTGACTATATTTAGCTGAGAAGATAGAAAAATAATTCCAATTTTGCTATAATCCAATGGCAGTGTTTCTATAATAATTATAAAATCGTTATCAATTATTATTTCCTACACTTTTTTACACAATGTTTTCATGCTTAGGCATTTTTAAATTATACAGAGTGTTTCAATTAAAATTTACCACCTGGAAAATACCGGCATTAAAAATAAAACAAAAAAACCTGAGACACGTCGATTTTCTTTTCAACGGGGACACGTGATGGCGTAAGTTTTGGTGTCTTGGAAATTACCCCTTTAGGCAGGGGCGTAAAATACCCTTAAACTTTAAATGGCACTCTATGTTGAGTGTCAGCCAACATAACTATGAGATCAGCACTTAAAGAATATGACAAAATATCAATGAATGAATGAAGAGCGTTATTTTATTAAATGTTCAAATTGGTTTCCCTTCGCTTCCAGACAATAATTAAAATCTTTACTCCACTTCCGAACGAATATTTCCAAGTATTTCGGGCGTTATCTGACGACATTCTTCAACGATTCTCCGACGAAGTGCCTCAAGTGAGTTCGGTCGTGTTGCATAAATTTTCCACTTTAAGTATCCCCATAGAAAAAAGTCTTAGGGCGTTAGATCTGGTGATCTGGAAGGCCATTCAACTGAACCTCTGCATCCTATCCAGTGATTTGGAAAGTTATTATTAAGAAAATCGCGCACGGCTACAGCATAATGTGATGGAGCATCATGCTGCCGGAACCACACATCCTCTTCTGGCAAAGCGTTGTCATTTTTCAATACCTCCAGAATCATCACAGAAAGGCCCTATGAGGTGGTCTCCCAGTATGCCTGCTTAAATATTCAATTTCCTCGGATGCTGCGTGCGAGTTTTTACGAAAAATGCGTGAATTTTCATTACTCCAGTAAATAGGCATGATGACAGTAACCAAGAATCACTAAAATTATGTATTTATCCAATGGAATATGATTCATCGGTTATAAAAAACGTATTTATTTTTATGTTATGAGCGAGATTGATAATGTTTTTGATAAAATAAAACTACAAAATACAGCAAACCTCCATGATAGGTTGAGTTGAGCACCAATCAGAGCGAATTACATCACATTTATGTAAATGTCATTTTATATTATTTGTACTTCCACAATATCCGCAGTATTTATCTTCGTTTAAATATTTCGTGTTTTCCAACTATCAGTTGCTTAGTTTTGCCAAAACCATAATCAGGAAACGTTAGGTACTTGAAAAGTTTGTAAAAGAAGGAAATAGATATATTTTTTGGAAATAGTAAATACTTCCGAACACCATAGAACAATTTTCCAAAATCTGTCATCATGCCTTTTTCATCACTCCAGTAGTGGCACTTATGGCGGTTGACTCCACCATCCAGTTGGAACGGACAATCATCGGAAAAACAGATTCAGCACAAAAAATTTGGATTCCTTCGACCACGATCACTCATTTCTTCAAAGAAATGCAAGCGACGATCAGCATCATCTTCACTAATTTCTTATACCAAATTAATTTTATATAGGTGATACTTGAATTTTTAAGATTCGGCGGCAACTAGGTATAGAAAATCCTGAAGTACCTGCAAGTTTCCTGACACTCAAATTTGATTCCATTGCGATGTGACCCGAGACAGCTACTTGATTACCTTCATTACGTACGACCTTTTCACGTTGACTCTTTCTGTTTACAACCGATCCAGTTTCCGAAAACGTATGCACTAAATCCAGGACGTACCGATGCCAAGTGTTTTTGTCAGGATAACGATCATTAAAAATCTGTGCTGTCTGCCGTGCACAGTCATTATTCTTGTAGAACAATCTAATTATTTCCACTTTTTCAGCAATTATATAAACCATTTTCACGAATTGAAATTCAATCGACTTTTTTCAATTTTAGTATCACTATTATAAAAACTCTATACCTGGTATCTCCGCGAATAAAAATGATTTTTCAAATCTGAAAAAAGCGTTTTGAAGGGTAAGAGTGGTAGTTTTAGAGGGCTTGATTCGTTTTTAGAAAAAATTTTTGCTCTGTGATATAAGCTAAAATATAGCAAAAAACGTGTTTTTGCACTTTTAGGTTAGGATATCTCGGAAACGTGACGTATAGGAGCAATTTTGACGCCGGATTTAGATTCTGCGCAACAAAAACCTTCGGGCAAGTGAGGTCTGGTTTTTGGGTGCGAAAATAGTTGCCCTGTGTAATCGACGTGTCTCAGGTTCTTTTTTGTTTTTTTTTAAATCCGATATTTTCCAGGCGGGAAAATTTAATTGAAACACCCTGTATAAAGTTTGCTTTTGATATTAAAACGGCTTTTATTTCCATTTAATTTATCTCTCTATCTAATTAAATCTAGTTTAATATTGATATGGCATATCAATAAGAAATATTTGGAGAGGAACTACAGGAGATAACTGTAGAGCCATTTCGAGCTAAGGACTCTTACCGCAGTAGTCGTACTTGTCTAAATAATCCTGAGAAACTCGTCAAAACAAACTGGATGTGGGTCAAGAGAGCTTAAGGTGAGACGGTTCTACTTACAGTGTGAAAAATCCCCGCCATATTAATGTTTACTTTATAGATCTACCTCATATAAATTTGATTTTTTTCATTCTTTCATAGGAAACGTGAAAATACATCGTTGAAAATATTTCAAATGTATATAAAACGGTATGACCATGTTAAATGTAGTAGTTGATAATATATTTTAAATACAGGGTGATCCATTAACGGTATGGGGTAAAAAATCCATTAACAAATACGGCCAAAAGAAATTGATTTAAAATATTTTCAAGTTTGTAACTTCATCACTAAAGGGCGCAACTGTTATAGTGTTACAGAAAATTGTCGTTTTTTAGAAATTTTGCTTATATTATCTAAGTTCAAAATACACTTTTTAGATACACTGTTAAACCTTTCATAAGTTTTGTCTGAACTGATTTTGTTATTACCATAACAACGCCAGTATCAAGGACACCATCTTGAAATTTTTAAATTGTTATAACTTCTAAATGCCTTAATCGATTTCAAGAAATGACGGCTCACTTTAAAGAACTATTAATAAAATTTATTTTTATAAAAATGTAATTCTCTTGTGCAATCTGTAGATGACGTCTCCGTCAACTAAAAAAATTAAATACAAGATATAGGTTTTTTCATGGCTTGATAGACCATTTAAAGGAAAACAAATACACAAACCGGAGGTCGATATCTTCTTTCGTTTTCAAATTATTGCTAAAATAGTGATGTGCTAGAACATCCTTCTATATTTAGTTCTCTAAATAATATTGACATAGTCCAAACCAAAATTAAATTGTAAAACTATACCAAGATTGTATTTAAAAAAGTACTTGCTATATTTTACACTTTTTTTTGATAACTGTAATGTTTCATTTTTTTTATTAATTCCAAATATCTGAGTTGTTATAAAGATTATTGTTTCCATAACGAGGCAGGCTATCTCCTATGAAAATAGACAAATGAAAAATGATGTCAAACGAAATGTGACAGCTCTTACTTCGTACAAGATTAGTGTCATTTGTGTGAGAAAAGTACTTGTGTTCCATAAGAAATTCCCAGGTCTCTAATTCTTTAACACTTATTTGGGGACTTACATGGACACAAACCAACACAATAATATTATCTTCCGCTCTTGCACGGCGATGTCTTGTTTCAGAATGTAGTGGCGTCTGGCTAAACGCTGAAATACTTCTCTGGAGTGGCGTATTCTACGAGGGTAACGCAAAGTGTATTCTCTTAAAGCTATAACGGCATTTTCCATACATTGAAAATAAACCGTCAATATATCACACGCTTCCACATTCGTAAAAGGCAGTTTCCTGGTACAAGTACTTTTCCAAAACAAATAACACTAATTTTACACGTAGCAACAGCTGTCACATTTCATTTGACATCATTTCTCAATTGTCTATATTCATAGGGTATAGCTTGCCTCGTTATGGAAACAATAATATTTATAAATACTCAAATATTTGTAATTAATAAAAATATTAAATATTGCAGTTATCAATAAAATTTCAAAATATGGCAAGTACTTGGTATAGTTTTATAATTTAATTTCGGATTGGACTGTGTTAGAGAACTAAATAAAAGAGGATGTTCTAGCACAACTTCACTATTTTAGCAATAACTTGAAAACGAAAAAATATATCGACTTCCGCTTTGTGTATTTGTTTTCTTTAATAAATGGTCTATCAAGCCTTGAAATAAAAAACCTATATCGTTGCATTTAATTTTTATAGTAAACGGAGACAATTACAAAAATTTTCTAATTAGCGTCATCTACAGTTGCACATGAAAATAATATTTTTATTCCCATATCATAAATAGAAATTTTATTAATAGTTCTTTATAATGAACCGTTTCTTTAAATTATTGATTAAGGCATTTACAGGTTATGACAATTTAAAAATTTCAAGATGGCGTCCTTTATACTAGCGTTGCTGTGGCAACAAAAAAAAGTTCAATAAAACTTATGAAGGGTTAAATAGAAAGTGTATTTTCAACTTAGGTTATACAGGGTGGGCCATTAGTGTGAGAAAATAAAATAACTCCCTTGTTAATCATAATACAGAAAAAAAGTTTATATAAAAGTTGTACGGAATCAAAAAACTTAAAGGACAAAATTGATTTGAAACGTACAGGGCGATGAGTAAAAACAGGACACGCCAAATATTACATATTTTAAATGAAACACCCTGTATATTTTTAAACATAGGGATTTCTGAGAAAATTCTATATATGGCAATATAAACAGTTTATCATTTTAGTGCGGGGTTGCCAAGTTATGTAGAAAATTCTTTGAATTTTGGAAAAAACATGACCTCGAAGAAGTTGTATTAACTTTCAGCTACTAAAACTGGGAACAAACTAATTACACAGAGTTATAGGCAAATGTTAGGCAAATGATCCCATATTAGCTAATATCGATATTTCATACAGGGCATTTTTTATAATATGTACAATCATTTTTAGAAAGTTTAAACTTGATTTTCTGAAATTTTTCAAATGTATGTATTTTATGATTCTATTTTATTCATATATCGGTCAGCAACATTTCTGTCGCACGAAATGGCTTTGGAAAAAAACTGTCACATTGTGTCAACTTGTCAGTTCACAGTTTATCAGTCCATTTTGTGTTAACTTTATTAATTATTATTTATTTGTGGTATTCTGTAAAACAACTTTAGATGTAGAACATACTTAATAAAAGTTAAAGTGAACTGATATGTGAATAAAATAGAACAATACAGGGTGCTGCATCTGAAAAATTTTAGAAAATCAAGTTTAAACTTTCTAAAACTGATCGTATTATAAAAAATGACCTGTATAAAATATCGATATTAGCTAATATAGGAGTCTTTGCCTAACATTTGCATATAACTGTGTCAAATATTTTTGCACCAAGTGTTAGTAGTTGAAAGTTAATACAACTTCTTCGAGTTATGTTTTTTCCAAAATTCGAAGAATTTTCTACATAACTTGGCAACCCATACTAAAATGATTAACTGTTTATATTACCATATATAGAATTTTCTGGGAAATCCAAATGAGTGAAAATATACAGGGTGTTCCGTTTAAAAAATGTAATATTTGGCAAGCATCAAATTAATTTTGTGGTTTAGGTTTCTTGATTCTGTATAACTTTTATATAAACTTTATTATGAGTAACAAGGGAGTTATTTTACTTTCTCACACTAATGGCCCACCCTGTATGTAAATAGTAAACAAGTCAATTTCAACCATGACAATTTGTTGCGCGTGCGGGTTGCCTAAACATGTGACGTCACACTAAAAGATTCTATTGTGAAGATTGTTAGTGACCAAATGTTTAAATTTAAAGTGAAGTCATTTATTTTTCTAATTTTTTACATTTAACTGTTTTCTTTTTTTGGTGAAAAGACAAGACCTCCTGTGGTGTGCGCGAGAAAGTGCGAATAAACATACTAAAATTGCCCATCAATACAGTATCAATAATAATGAATTAATGGACATGGTGACCTATCTGCGGAGCAGCGGTTCCAAAAATGTTTTCATCGTATCAGAGTGGTAAGTCAGTAGGTATTAAAAAATATATATTTTCGAGTCTTCGCATCTCGATGTATATGTGTATATCTGTGGTTTTCGCTCAACTAATTTTCCTTAAAGTTCTCATTTTGACTGTTCTCTAAAATAGTAAAAGGAAGGCGTTACGGTTTCTGTATTGTCTAATGTGCGAGGAATGAAGCAAGAGCAAATTGAGTTGTGGACATGAGGAATATAACGACGGAGGGTATTTTGACAAAGATGGACAATAAAAGTTTAGAGGCCTAATTATTGCNTGCAGTATCCAAAACAGTAAATTAACATCGTGCATTTCTAACAAAAGTAATAAAGACCTAGTTAAATTAGTAATTAACAGGTAACCGCTCAAAATGTCTGCCATTTTTCTCTAGACATTGAGCAATTCTACGACGAAAATTGCTTGACACATTTCGCAGCATTTCCGAAGTTACGATCAAAAAAGAATTTTTTATCTTTGCGCTTTCTTTCAAACCTCTTCTTCAGTTTTAAAAAACACTTTGTACGATGATATCTTTGTAAATTTGGGTTATTAGTTTGATAAATACTTGTCAATAAATAGTTATCATGAGTTTTACTAATTATTCTATTATTTATTTACTAATTCATCTTTAGAGTAATTAATTTCACAATTATTACTGTCGCTTTTCTTTTAAACCTGATGTGAATCGAAAATTTTCCAGATTATCCTTCGAGAGGAGCCTACTATGTTATTTTACATATAAACTAATGAATTTTGGTATAGGAGCAGGTATAGCAAAGTAGGAGAGAATTTAATTTTGCATCTCATGGTATGAAAATATACAGGATGTTCCATTTAAAAAATTGGAGATTTTTCAATTTTTCAATTGCCAATTTTGACATGACATTTTGGTCACCCTGTATAACGCAGGCCAGTTTTTGGAGCATGATTCGGAAGAGTCATCCTTACTAAACAACTGATAAAAAAATGGGCTTAGTAGCTATTAGTATAACCTGTCAGTATCAGAAAATGTAAGCAACCAATATCGACTAGAAAAACCTTTCAAGCGAGATATCTCAAAAACTGTGAATATTTGAATAGAACTATTCTACACAAAGTACCCTTTATTTTTTATGTAGAATCCGAAATAAATATAAAAAATGTGTGTTTCCATTTAAAAAACCAAAGTTGGTGTCTGTCTAGGAAAAGTGGAATACCCTGTATAGTTGAATATATTTTTAATTTGTACATTCCGAGAAATGTGGCAACACAGTAAAAAGAAAATCATATATTCCTCATTTTAACATAGATATTGGACTTTTCCGCACTAGTGGGACACGCTGTATAGAATTTTCTTAGAAATCCATATGTTTAAAAATATACGGGGTGTTCCATTTAAAAAATGTAATGTTTGGTGTGTCCCTGTATGTTTCAAATTAATTTTGCGCTTTAGGTTTTTTTGATTCTGTACAACTTTGATATAAACTTTTTTTCTGTATTATGAATAACAAGGGAGTTACTTTACTTTCTCACACTAATTTCCATAACACTATAACAGTTGCGCCCTCTAGCGGTGAAGTTACAAATTTGAAAGTACATATTTTAAATCAATTTCTTTTGGTCGTATTTGTTAATAGATTTTTACCCCAAAATCGTAGCACGTTTAGTTTCCTATATACAGCCGTTCGATATCGTTAATGGCACCCCCTGTATACAATGCTTTCCAATAATACAATAACCCTTGTCTATTTGTCAGTAGAAATGTTTTTCACATGTTGCAACCGGTGGTTATTGCACTTATTTACAGATTTAAAGATTTGTACAAAACTGTATAAAAATATATCGAATAAAAGAGATCGCCGAGGCTCATAACTATAGTCTGAACAAATGCTCCTTAGAATCCAGAATAACAGGCTTTTAATACAAACCTGTTACAATAAGTGGGGCCGACGTTTCTTGATGCACCCCATCATTTCATCGTTTATATCCAATTTAAAACGGACGTTCTGTTCCAGGCGGTATGGATAACGGCTCTCGCCCCCTATGTCGTCCTGATAATCCTGCTGGCTCGCGGAGTCTCGCTGCCCGGAGCCGCCGACGGCATCCGCTACTACCTCACACCGGAATGGGACAAGCTCTACAACTCCAAGGTGTGGATAGACGCGGCCTCGCAGATTTTTTTCTCGCTTGGTCCGGGTTTCGGCACGCTGCTGGCCCTCTCCAGCTACAACAAGTTCAATAACAACTGCTACAGAGACGCCATCTTAACGAGCAGTATCAATTGCCTGACCAGTTTCTTGGCCGGGTTCGTGATTTTCTCCGTTTTGGGGTACATGGCACACGTGCAGCATAAGAGCATAGAGCAGGTCGGATTGGAAGGTAGGTCAAAATTTAAATACAGGGTTACAACTTTTTTATTGTCCTGTACACGTATTTTTCTTATTATAAGAGTTACAGAAATGGTTAAATGGCCAAAAATGTGCAGGATCTTATGGCGATCCCGGATTCGTTTTTAAACTTAGGAAATACCGAATAGTTCCGAAGATATCCGAAGAAAACCGATTTTATGCTATTACTTTTTTTAGTCGTATTTCACATGTTTTTCAAAATTTTGGGACAAAAAATGTGTGGTCTGATATCTATAAAAATGTTTGCTGAGGTGTAATTAACTTTTGTTTTTCTTATGGACGCCATATTGAATTTTCCATATGGATTCAACGAGCAAAAAAATCGACCCATTTGATTTTTTTTAAACTTTGGGATTTTAATCTACTTTGAATTTTATGAGGGCCGTTGTAGCGGTACGCTACAATTACATTTAGTACCTGCCCCAATAAATATATTTTGCTTTCTGGGAATTTACGAGCCATATAAATTATACTTTGAATTATCCGAGATTATCCCAAATAAATGTATTTAGCAAATGAGATTAGAATGAGTAGGCTGTAAACATAAATTAGTTGTTTATTAGGGTACATAAGCACAAACCGAGTAGGTAATGACCCGGATAAGTTTTAATTAGGATAGGATAATAAAAGTAGGTTCCTGGGGACAAGGATAAAACCGAAAACATTTTGAGACACGAGGGAGAAGTCTTGAAGCCTAGTTCCTGCTTGGTTGTGTCTCGTGTTACCAACGAAATTAGTAGAATAAAGTTTTCCATGCTACTTAGTTTTTCTCCTCACTTGAAGACCAAACCACTATACCCTGTTTTTCTGTTTTTCCGAAAAAAATTTTTGGAACTTTGTGGCTCCATGTCAAAATTTACATGTGACGGCGTTCTTCCGAAAATGAAAATGCATATTTTTTTCAAATTATATCCTTCATATTGACTTAAACCATCCTACCGGAACATTTTTTCTAAAAATGTGCAGAATTTCATCAGCGTTTACATAGTTTTTTTCAGAATTCAAATTGCTTTAAAACTTTCTGAGATATTTGAGATAAACGGAAAAAAGTAATTTTTTTTAAATTGATTTTCTTAAAAACCCCTCCTTTTATTTTCACCAAATTTGAATATGTCTTTCAAGGCCAAATAAGCTATATCTTTTAGCCAAACGGCAATATGTCAACTTGCTTCGATCGGGAGATACGGTTTCGAAAATACATATTTTTTCATGTCAGTCATTTTGACCCAAATCATCCTCCCGAAACTGTTTTTTTAAATGTGCAGAGGTTTATCAGCTTTTACCTGTTTTATTTCAGAATTCATATTGCTTTAAAACTTTGTGAGATAAATGAGATTGATAAATTGATTTTCTCAAACACCCCATCTTTTATTTTCAACAAATTTGGATATGTTTTTCAAGGCCAAATAAGTTATCTTTTAGCCAAGCGGCAATATGCCAAATTGCTCAGTTCGGAAGATACAATTTCACAAAGACAATATTTTTATACGTTTACGCCTCATATTCGTTACAATAATTTACTCTTGTGAAATCAGTAAATTGGTAGCAAATATAGAAGACAGTCAGTAACGCTTATTAATCAAAATTTAACACTGAAGCATTCATGTTTGTTTTTCTACATTGAACTCTACATTTATATTTCCTTCTGCATCAATCTCTCGGATAACCAAATATGACTATTACGAATGCCGTAAATTGATTGAACTTCTTTCCATACCTCGGTCTTTTAAGATCGAAATTTTTGCAGTTCTTCAGTTTTCAAAAGTATTAATACAACAAATCCTATATGACTATACTAGACAGGGAACATTCTATCCAAATGCTTATATAAAAATACAGGGTGTGCAATTTAACACTCTCGCTGCCAATATCATCGAAATGAAGAAATTTATTTAAGTTTCGGAAACTTGTACAATTTCTTTTCTGTAGTTGATCATTTGTTTTTTTTTATAATTTATTGTTTGTTAGTTGGTATGTGGTGTGAATAAAGTCATTATAACAATATTTCAAAAGAATGTTATAGCATACATTGCATATGGAAGTCGACATATCTCGAAAACAAATAAATATAAGGAAAAATTTTATATTACAAAAATTACTCAAAATTTAACGATCTTTCAGATGGACTACATTTCCACGTTCTAGGGATAAAAAATGTTTAGTATCGCCACGCCATCTATACAGAAAGATTTGAACTAACAGTTCTAACTCCAATTTGAAGCTATTCGAAGGACCTAACAATCCCAGTTTCCGGAACGAAAATAAATTTCTTCATTTCGAAGATATTGGCAGCGGGAGTATTAAATGGCACACCTTGTATACAGGGTGTGCCATTTAAATTAACAAAGTTAACATCCTCGGCCATTTTGTTCGGACTACATTTGTTTTTCTACTATCATTTTCGAAATCTTATAAACTTAGGTCGCAATATGCTTCGTTTCCGAGATACAGAGTATTTAAATATTAATTTTTTATTTATTTTTATTAATTATATCAAAGAGTTTTAAAGATATTGACTCGGAATTTGATGGTTGTATTTTATTTAGAAATATTGACAGCAACCTACAAGATAATGTATGAGTAGAAATTATTGCAATAAAATATGTTTTATTTTTTCCTCAAAAACCGTGCATCCTACGAAAAAAATTGAAGAGACCAATTTCATTCAGCATTGATGACAGATTTCTAAAAAAACATCAAAACGGGAAAAAGTCAGTGGCGTACCATTTTTCTTATTAAAAAAGGTTGCGGCATTCTCGCATGAACGCCACTGGTGCAAGTAGAAATATTCGGATCACCCCAAAAAATGCTCAAAGCGTTTTTCAAATTCCAAGTCAATATATTTAAAACTCTTTGAAATAATTAATAAAGATAAATAAAAAATTAATATTTAAACACTCTGTATCTCGGAAACAAAGCATATTTCGAACTACGTTTATACACAAAATAACTTCGGCAACCACCCCCTAAAATATTTTGCACTTATTTACAAGCACCCTGTATATGTTTGACATCCTGCAGGTCTTGTATTATCATTTTTACTGTAATGAAAACCTTGCTGGATTTTCTTGACGAACACGGTATATTTTTTAGCACGCATCTATTGATGGGATATTCTCTCATCGGTATATGTAATCAATGTAATCATAAAAATTAATGGAGTATGTATGGGGATATGATAAAAGAATAAACTGTGATATATGTAGGTATCATACAAAGACTTTATAGCTTGGTAATAATCTATTAGTCTCTTTTTAGCACCTGATATCTTTTTTATGCACAATAAATGTAATTATTAAGATATAATCTAATCTTTATGACAATGTATTCATGAAAAATGTAAAAAATAATACGTATCAATAATTTTCTATATTATGGCGAATGCGCCAATGTCAGTTCGTGTTTGATAAAATAAAATAATTGCCTTATTAACGATATAATATTTTACTTAAATAATAAAAACACCTTTATGTAGCATCAGAAATGATTCATTCAAAATATATGAAAAAATCGTTAACAAACATTCACATTTCACTTAACTACTGATAAATTTTTGTCATAAAAATTATTTTAAATGGTTTATCAGTTACGACTGTAACTTTGTTGAAACTATGTTCTAAGAAGGATTAATTTATTTGTTTCAAGTGTTTTTTCTGGTGCATGCTCATTTTTTTTTTGTTTTGTCAAAATAATCATATTAATTTTTTCTCCTGCGATGAATTACACAAATATTTAGGAATAGTGAAGAGATACCTTTCTCAGGTAGGGACATCCTTAAGAAAATGGACATTTTTCCATTAAAAAAAGCGTTTTAAGATTAAACGTTTACACTGACAAAAATTTTACTAATCACGCCATACCGAATCGCTGATAGAATCATATATGTGATCATCATGAGAGGGATTTTATAAATTTGACTTTAATTTTAATATCCACATTAGCTATTTATTTTGACTTCGGAAATTATTTAAATCCAAGTCACTGGAATTTGGTCGATTATAATACCTGACCTAGAACAATGCACGCACAGTCAATAGGCATATACAAAAAGTTTATGTACAAAAACGAAAAAAATTAACGAGGAATAAATAAGTCGAGTTTTATCGTTGTATTAGTGAATTCAGTTATTGCTTTTATTATTGTTATTAATTTATACTATAGTTAAATTTAGTCAGTAAAGATTAAGTAAATGTTAATTAATAATGAATCAAATAAAGAAATCGGTATTCACAATTTTGTCCACCAACTCGTAAATAAAATGAATGTTCCTTCTTCTCCCTGGTCTTGCAGGCATAAATTATTCTCATCAACCTGAAAACTTGAAAAAATTATTAGTAGACATTTTATTGCACTTTATGACGGTGAAGAATGATGAAGAATGATAATATCAAAAAAGTAACTCGAAAGAAGTGACGCTAAGTTGGCAAATTGTAAATAAGTGGCAAATTTGTGTTTTTTTACTGCCCTTTAAAATCAAAACGATCTATCGGAATATTAGTTATTTTATGTTGAATGCAATTAAATTACTTACAATTTAAGTTATCTAAGTCATATTTCACCAATTTATTAAAATAAAAGTTGAACGTGGAAAAATCAATTTTCGAAAATTACGCATTTTATTGCAAAAAGCGATGGATGTTGATGACATTTATGGAAGAGACGATAAATGTGTGCCAAACACCGATTCATTGACCCTGAAATTGTGCTCCAGTTATTTGTTAATTAATTTCGTTTGTTTTTTTGCAACTAATTGTTTAATTACTTAACGTTAATTTTAGGCTTTAATGTCGTAGCTATAGATTCTAATTGATTCAAAGAAACGTATCGAAAAAGAAAACCTCTAGGAAAAAAGAAGAAGAAGTAGGACGTGCAAAACAGCGTTACAAACAATTTGTCCCAGGGTCAGTCAAAACTCGTTCGGGAATTCGCTCTTTTTGCGAAATAGAGCTTATTTTTACGGTAATTTGAAAA